AATAAGCAAGCTCTCAAGCGCAGTGCGCAAATCACAAATAATTCGTCTATAAGCACGCCCAGCAAACCTATCAAACCGAAAATTTCTAAACGAAACGATACGGGGGACAAATGTCGCGAAGAGAACGATCCAACAAATGGGGGAATACATAGCATTTTACAACAAACAGTCATGAAGCTTGATATAATTGACGACCGAACAAAGTCTGTCGAGCAGGAGATGAAAGCATCTATGGAGTTTGTACATGCAGAAGTTGTGGACCATAAAAAGGAAAACGAAGAAAGAAAAAAAGATCTCGAAGTAGAGGAGACTACAAACACTCAAAGAAAGCAACACACTATAGAACAATCGCGTCATTGATCTTCAAGCAAGATCGATGCGCGATAATCTCCTGTTTTATAATGTTAAAGAATCGGCGGAGGAAAATACGAAAGACGTAATTCATAAGCTATTGGAAGAAAAGTAGGGGATAGAAAATTCGAAATCAACTATTAAAATCAACCGAGCGCATAGATGGGCAAACCGAGGGGAAATAAACCAAGAGCTATTGTAGTGAAATTCAATTACTACCCAGACAAGGAAGCAATTCTCCATGGCCAGAAATTGAAACCGTGTTGCAAAATTATACTCGATCCACTCCTAAACTATGCGCGATCCCTTGCAAAAGTTATATACAAAACTATACAAGAGCGACTTTACACTCGATTTATAACATTCTAGGCTTGTATGGTAAAAAAGTTGAAGACATATACACTAACATAAAATTCAAAAATCAATTACCCGAGTAAAATATGGACATTTCCTTTTTCGATGTGAACTTTTCTTATAATCTACTACGGAGCGCCGCCTTATTATGTTACTATAAAATGTTATCAAAATCCGGAAAATATGCCAAGAGTAAATCATTATTTTCCATTAACTAAGAACGTAGCGAAAAAATTGAAGTTTGTATAGTGAACTTCAATATATCGAGAGTACATTCGAACTGTTCGTACCTTTCTCAGACAGAAATAGACATTTCCTTTTTTTAATACAAAACTCACAATTTGTACCCTTCCTTAGCAATTGCCGGAATCAAGCTCCAAATTATGATTATTCGGGAAAGAAATATTTCGACAAATATTCATCGCAAACTACCAAGTTATGCATCAAAATGCAGCTTGTAAACAGCAGATTTCAGATCTTTGATGTGTGAAAACGCTGGAGCATAATTTTATGCTTATACACGCTGGCCAATGCTTGGTTTTCAGAAGTTTCAACTGAGCCCAAATCTGGTTCGAATCAGCGGAGTAGCTAATAAATGCGCGTAATTTTCCCGGTCTATTCAAAATATGAATGTGCACGTAAACAATGTCAGATGCGTTGAATATTCATGACCAACTAAAGTTCAAGTCGAAAATATCATTTACGTCGGAAAGCTGTCTTAACTATATTCGAAGGCAGAATTCAAATGAAGTTATTCTAACTTTAATAATTCCTGTTGAAATATTAGTCAAGTAGAATAAAATTATAAAGAGCAAAAAGTTCCCTGTATTGTTAGTGGATTTATTGTACATTTCACAAGGTTTACCAGGTTGTTGCCTAAAGCCAGAAGCTACAGATCGAATTGAGCGCCGTCTAAAGGAATTATGTAGCGTTGCTTCGAAATCATGTGTGGGTATCTCTGGGAATAATAGGGTTAAGAAATTGGCTATACATCGTCACGAAGTAGAAGATCCAAACGAGCTCCCATGCAGAATCGCCAGCCTCGCTACAAGCCAAGCTACAAGAACAAGTAGACAGTCTTGAAGCAAAGTGTGAAAGTCTTGTAGATGAAGTTCTTGAATTTACACAGGATAGGCGACGTATAACTGAGCTTGAGCAATCAGTGGAAAATGTAAATGATGAAAATGAGGCATTGGAGGCACATATACAAACCCTTCCGGAAAGAGACTGTTGCAAACACTGTGATTCCACTAATGTAAACAAAGGGCTTACTTATGATAGTGTCAGTAAAACCCAAAAGCAAAGGAAACTAAAAGAGTTAAAAACAAATGTGGAAAAATCTCTTTGGTTTCTGGAAACCTTTGGATTAAAGCTACATAGTCTGTCCCTTATTGCCTTGGATGGAGAAAGGGTGAACTTCGGGGGTATGCTCCCCCGAGAAAATTTTGAATTTTGGGTGTCTAAAACCGCATTTCCTGCGTTTTGGAGGCACTTTAAGAGAAACATAAAGGTTTTAATAAATCACTTTTTTAGTAGATCGGAACATAAATGATCAGTTCCATACAATATATGAATCAAATGTATTTTTAATAAAACCAAGAATGAAATGAAGAATTTAATGTTATAATAAATATTTAGTACAAGTTCCATCTTCGGGGAGCTGCGTCGGTAAATCGTTCAACGAGTCCTTCGATATCGAGGCCCCGACAAATGTCAGATTCCACGGACATGAGCATCAGCGATTCTAGTCGATCTTGCCTCATCGTCGACCTCAGGCGATTTTTTATTATTTTCAGCTTGGAAAATGATCTCTCAGCAGATGCTGATGTCAAAGGGAGAGTAAGGGCAATCTTAATAATTTTTGACAAATTGGGGAAGCATTCGGGTTCTTGAAGAAGTTCGCGGTATAAATCAACCAAAGACGGCTTTCGTTCTTTCGTTTCCTTGGCCAGGATATCTTTGATCATCTTCGAGGAACGAATTAATTTCATCTCCAGTTCAAGAGCATCAGCGTTGATATCATCTGCGAACTAATTGGCGGCGTGTTTGACATGCTCGAAAGAATCAGGCGTCGTGATGCGTTTGGGATGAAGATATCCAAATCCCCGTAAGATGGATCGGTTTTCTGCATCGTACCTTGTCTCGATTGAATTGATCATGAGATCAAGAACCTGTGAAAACAGTAGTATAGTTAAAGATATCTGCAATTTAATACTGATCTGATAGAAAGTTTCGAACAGTGTGGGAGAGATAAAATTAAATGTTTCGCACAAATACTTACTGAAAAGTAGAACCCAACTCTAAATGTATCTTTAGGTTCAAGCCGCACAGCTGTCTCAGGATGGTCGTCCAGTCGTACCGGTATCTTCCTTTGACGCGTCTCCATCGGAGTTTCAATGTTGAGCTCTTCACATGTTTCAACAGTGGCAATCCAGAAAGTCTTGAACTTGTCCTCGGTACGAAGTTCTTCTATGGCAACAAGCAGATCTTCAACCCGGTCACAACCTGACACTACGTCGAGATCCTCTGATTGTAGTTTGTCTGATACACCTTTGCTGAGGTTAAGTACTTTGTCGAGAACCTGAAAAAGTATCAAATAATAGAAATATAACTCAAAATATATACGGAACGTTTTCAACTCAAAACCGAAAACAAAACTTTTCATGGTCGTTTTCCCAATGCGAACCATACGATATAGTGCAATGTACTTAGAAAATGAAGTCCTTTATATACTGTAAGTATACTCACTTTCAATGATAAAACAAATTCAAAATCAATATTACTCAAAAGACCCTTTGCTTCAGCTGCAATCTTCGCCTTCGTCTCAGTTTCGTGGATGATTTTCAACGTTCCTACAATTGCCCCGATGGTCGCATTGAATGTGTTGATCGCATTTGCTCGGCAGGCCCAACGAGTTTCGCACAAGCTCTTCAGTGTACGAACTTGGAAACTCTTCGTAGAACCACTGCTTGCGTGGATCTCTGCTTGCTGCTGGGTGTAAACAGCATGTCGTTTCGTGCATGTTTGAATAAATACGTACAAGTTTTGAAGGGTTCCAAAGAAATCTCTTGCAGTGGTGTTGCTGGTCATGGCATCGACAATGACTAGGTTCAATACGTGTGCATAGCAATGGACGAACAAGGCGGATGGGGAGATTTCTTTTATCCTCGCTTGAAGACCTGTCCGTATGCCCGAAACATTACTTGCTCCATCGTAGCATTGACCTCTAAGACGAGTGACGTCTATGTCGTGGGATTTCAATACAGCGCAGAGTGTTTCAAAGAGCATTTCACTTGTCGTCTGATCTACAATCCTGAGAGCCAACAACTTTTCTTCGACATCTCCTTGATATACATAGCGTACGGTGATGGAAAATTGTTCGTTGTGGCTTGTATCTGGGGTTTCGTCAGCAATGACAGCGAAAAACTCAGCTTCCTTCAGCCGTCGGACAATCTCATCCGTTATGGCCGTCCCAATTACATCAATCATTTCATTTTGGATTTGATGACTTGTGTATTTTGTATTATCTGTTGAGATAACAACATTCAAATCAAACTAAAATAATATGTTATTGATTGCAAACTCCGTGATCCTGAAAGATCATGGTTGGATTTACCAGATTATGTCAATCAGCCTGGTGAAATTAACCGGACCTATCACTGTAGCTCTGTTTAGAAATATTACAACGAACACTTTAGTAATGTAAGCAGGCCGGAATACTTTTAACTTCGCCATAGCATGACCGCATGACATGTAAACCAGTTAACAGAGTTTTTGAATGAAGAATATTTATAAATCAGGAATCAAATAATTAAATCAAAGTTTCTGGCAAAGTTCCACAAAGAGCTGTGGAATGCACAAAACAGCTACACGAATAAAGTACAACATTAAATTAAAGTTATTTGGCCTAAACAATTGTCAGTATAGCCAATTAAATCACAAACCTTTAGCATTCTTTAAATGGAAGTCCATGATAGCATCATGTTTGGAAAAGTGCGCGATTATCTCTATGAAAACGCCTTTGTTCGTGGATGTTTGATTTTCCCGATGACCTCTAAATGGTAAGTTCAGTCTTCCAAGCAGCCTTACAACATCAATTATTCTCCCGATCACTGTACGTTTTCGTTTCACCTTAAAAGGACATTAATTTGGAATAATCATGCAATATATCAAACTATACGTATGCGTGCATTTTCATCTATAAAAGTGCTAAAATGTCGCTTATGATTGAAAAAATGCCATTACATACATTACCTCTATCTCTTTCTCACTCGCCCGGATTTTAGCATGTTCGTTTAATTGTTGGTCGATCGGCTTCTGCTTCAGCCAGATTGAATATCCCTCGGAAGCAAGTCTGTGACCATCGCTGTTCTGGTGCGTCGAAAAGGTTTTCGGTTTCTTCCAATTTGAAAATCCGTCGGTAATG